TCACAACAAATAGTCAGAAAAGGTCAACTCTGATCTAACCTGCATTTCCATTACAGGGGGCCGTGGGTTGCCATGGGAGTGACAGCTGACAACACAGTAGCATATAGCGCATCAATTAATCTGACAGTTGGATAATCAAAACAATTTAAAAAAAAAAACAATCATTAAAACAACACCATACATTCCACCCCAACCCGGTTCAGCTCACAACAAATAGTCAGAAAAGGTCAACTCTGATCTAACCTGCATTTCCATTACAGGGGGCCATGGGTTGCCATGGGAGTGACAGCTGACAACACAGTAGCATATAGCGCATCAATTAATCTGACAGTTGGATAATCAAAACAATTAAAAAAAAAAAACAATCATTAAAACAACACCATACATTCCACCCCAACCCCACTGCTGCCTTCAAGTGTCAACGTTTGAGTGACTTTGCAAGTGCTCGTTCCTTCTGTCTGGGTGCAGCGACGCGCGTGTACCTCAGTCAACCCTCGAAAAATGATACAGAACACAGGTTTTTCAGGGAAAAACACTCGAAATACAAAGACGGTACTTTGAAAGCACTGCACCTTTCAGCATAATATTAACTACCAGAAGTATTACATCTCGCCGGTGGCTCTCGATGCTGGAGTGGCCTTTCATGTAAATAACATGCACTCATCTGATGCCAGCTGAGGTTTTTCAACCGATCACGAAAGGGAAAGGACTTTGAGCTATAGAGAAGCAGACTGAGCCGCGCGACCAGCTCCTCTGATTGTCACAGTAGAAGAAAACATTTTCAACTGACACACTGGTACAACCAAACCAACAGGGGGCAGTCACAAGCGTTATGAGAAACACCAATCAGAGAGTGTCTTGCTAGTCATCTGTGCTTGGACATTACGGTTCACGGGGGAACTGTACCAAGGCGGCCCGTGACGTTAAGAATCGCAGGTCACAGTGCTGGATATTGGCGGCGCACACTGTCATTTTTTAAAATCTTTTTTTTCCCCGCAGAGCGTTCTTCACCAGTGGCATTACTCTACAGAGAGCAAAGGTTTAAGGGGTGTGTATTTGCGTTGTGTTGACAATTTGAGGTGGATAAACGCCTTTCCCATTTGTCGAGGTCCACTCCGGGAGATGGTTTTCAATCAAGTTTTGAACAGCAGCAGCAACGAAAGCTTAGATATGCAGAAATCCGGAGGCTTCTTTTAGGCTTATGCCAGACAAAAATATATGTAGAACACACCACTCAAATGTATTTACAGCACTATACACCAATATAGACCACTTCATTTGATTGTTAGTCAAAAGTCTCGCCTACTGATAGTGCATCACCGGCTGTCTATTAAAGTATATCTAGTAATGGCACAAGAGCACTGATCACAACTTTCAATTTCAAGAGATCACTTCACAAAATTGGACTTGGCTACCTACAACAATAATAACTTACTACTAAAGTAGAGCTTGCCATGTGCATTTTCTCTTTTGATCCATTTTAATCAAGGTTTGAAGATTTTCGTATAAATAATCACCAAGTGAGTGCGTCGTTAACTTTGTGGAACTCTTAATAAATATGCTTATAAATTATTAATTTAAGTAGGAAATGTCAAAAGCAAGTGTTCATGCCAGTGATTAAATGAGTCACAGCCTACTTTTACTTACAAAACTAGCATTGGCTTTTAAAGCGTGGACAGCCTGTTGTTCCTTTCAGAAAAGTGAGTGTATATTTTCCACAATTGTGCACCGATAGTGTGGCGGTGAGATCTCACAGGTAAATTTCTCGTTTCGGGGTGTGGGCAGAAGGAGAGGTGGGGGGAAACTCGGAGGTGGTGCTCAAGGGCATCTCCTCTATCGGGCAGTCCTGACTGGCATCATGACCACTGTTGGAATAGGCACTGCGGGAGGGCGGAAGGCGGGAGCGGTGCTCCTCGCCGCCCAGCCTGGCACTGCCATTTGCCAGGCGTCCCAAGCTCCCTCTCTCCTGGTAAGGCACAAAGGTGGAAAGTTTCGGTGGATTCCTGGTCTTGCGTACAGGGGAGGGATGCCCGGGCATCCAGCAGGCATCTGAGTGACCCAGTTCACTGCACTCAGGCGTACAGTTTCCGGTCATTGCCACATCAGGGAGAGAGCGGATATCTGTGTGTCGAAAAAGAGAGAAAAATGAAGGGTAAAAAAAAAAAAATCAGAGTGAGCTTTACCTCAGACAAAATTTGAAGAACGATCATAAAACATAAAAAGGAATCATCGAAAAAGGCATTTGTGGACAGAACTGTTGGTCTCTCAAACACCCCTCCCTCCAAGCCCACCCTCCTCCTTGAGATCTTTGCAGCTGTTGCTAAGCAGTGAGCAGCAGTTGCTATGTAGCTGTTGCTATGCACTTTGTAATGAGCACTTCTGTGTGTGCAGTCCACAAGCTGGTGTGATACATTGGGAAGATAGCATGCTGCGTCTATGCCATTTAGAAATATCCAACAGCACTTGATGTCATTCAAAGAAAAAAAAGAGAAAAAAAAAGAAAAGAAGGATCAAGTGCGTTGTTAATTTGTCCAGCAGTAACATATTCACACATACGTCATTTGACTTCGAAGCACGGCTAGTGACCGTCGCAGTGATTTACAGACGGTAGACAACATCCTACACACACCTAGACACTTTGTAACTCTTTGGTCACAAAGAGAATGCCTTGTGCCTTGTACCAGAATGAGTTATTGATTGACAGTGCTGAAATGAGTTCCCTGCCCTTGATTATCATCCATTTTTTTTATTCAGCTGTTGCTAATTTAATAAATGGGTCCACGGCCCAATGACCTCATTTTGATTTACAACAAGTGAAAACTCTAACGCGGGTTTTGCTCTGACAATCCCCTAGGAGTGTGACATGATTTCTGACAGTAAAAATAGGATGTTTTTTTTTTTTTTTTTTTTTTTCTGAAATGTGCACCGCAGCAAATGATGGGCTCTGTTAAGCAGAGATCACCTGTTGAAAATTTGAAAACACAGCCAGAATTAAAGTGACTCCGTTTATCTTTGTTATCTCTTCAGTCTGAGACGCGGACAGCCGAATCAATGGCTGTGAAGAAAGCAGTAGACGACCGAGATCTCAGAGGTGCCCTCTGTGTATTCCGGTGATGAATGCTTTACTTCAGCGCCGTGATGAAAGAATGTGTCCATCACGGACGCTCTATCCTATTTCAGGGCAACAGGACAGCGTGTGTGTTGCGGGCAAGGGGTGGACGTTGGATGGTGGTGGGTATAGCGAGCGTGGCGAGTAGCTCCTTCTGTGACGAGCAGGAAGACGTCGTTGCATGTAAATGGTGCAACCACATGTGTAGGAGTGATAGAAGTGGTGGCTCCGGTCTGCGGCGTACCGAACAATGGTAGTTTAAAATAGAGCCTGTGGCACAAGCCATCAATAACGTCATGACCACTGGCAACACAATTATTGGACAAATGTCGGCCAAGAGAAGAGGAAAAAAAAAAAAAAAAACTGCACCCCAGACCACTTAGACACCATCTTGATAAAAGCAATAGACAGTTTGTTAATTATCAGGGTGCAACCGGAGGTTTGGGAAATGTACCTTAACGTCCTCAAAAGTGTGTCCTTTGTCCTTTAGATGTAAATGAAGGACAAAGGACACACTTCCGAGGATGGGAATTTACATATCCTTGCAAAGGAAGACAGATGGTTTGAAAGAGGAGTGAAGGTGGCTTGGTGGTTGAGGAAGCGGCCTTGCGTCCGCAAGGTTTAAGGTTCGAGTTCCGTTTTCAGGTTTAGGTCTGAGCATGGACATGATTCGTTGTGTGCTGTGTCTCTGGACGCCTCTGGTCCGTGTACAATCTGGTCCTGAGTTCTCTACCCAGAAAAGTCAAACCTCCTCCAGATACCAACACAGACCTACTCCAAGGGACACACGGTTATAGCTCCCCCTCAGGTGAAACCAACGACGCCCCCCCCCATCTCTACCTTAACCCCTGTGACCACAACAGTCACTGTCAAAAACAGTCAAAAACAACCTACCAGTCCAGTTGCCAGTTGTTCATAAAATCCCTAGAAACTTATATATAGATTAAATCAATAGAAATAAAAATCTGAAAGCTGAAGGATGAAAGGAGCACCCACATGTGTTGTGTACTCTGGCTGACGTCTTATTTACTATAACTAAGTGTTGTCGGCATGCATTACTGCAAAGGCATGGACTATCCTCAAGACATTCCCGGGTAGACAGTTAAAGGAGAGGGCTGTTGAGTGTTGTGTGTCGGAGCACAAGCGCCGTTGCGTAGGCATCGACTCCAAAAAGGATTTCACACTTGATTAAAACCTCTCTGTAGTTTCCAGTAGTTTTCCACCACACCAAGCTGTCTTGGGTATATTGTGCTGCGGCTTAAGCAGATATAACGCAGTGATTTGGAAAACCTGGCACCCCGAGACAGGTTCTGTAAAATGTTTGTAACAATTGTACAACCATAAAGGTGTCATTTATAGATGTTTTCCGTGCCGTTATGTCAGACAAAAGGGTGTAGAAATATCGGAAACTACCACTGACCTGTGACCTTTCAATGTGAAGTTAAATAGCTACCGATGGATGGATGGATGGATGGATGGATGGATGGATGGATGGATGGATGGATGGATGGATGGATGGATGGATGGATGGATGGATGGATGGATGGATGGATGGATGGATGGATGGATGGATGGATGGATGGATGGATGGATGGATGGATGGATGGATGGATGGATGGATGGATGGATGGATGGATGGATGGATGGATGGATGGATGGATGGATGGATGGATGGATGGATGGATGGATGGATGGATGGATGGATGGATGGATGGATGGATGGATGGATGGATGGATGGATGGATGGATGGATGGATGGATAGATAGATAGATAGATAGATAGATAGATAGATAGATAGATAGATAAATAGATGGATGGATGGATAGGTAGATAGATTTCCGCTTCTGCACTCTAAGATTTGTCATGACGTGTGTGTACCCGTCGACACCCTCAAATAAAAATCACTTCATTTAAATGGAAACCATGTCGCTGGTTGTCGCATCTTCACTTCAAGTCATGAAAGCGATCTGCTCGAGGTTCCCTGAGATTCTGCGATTTCGTAAGATGTCATCTCAAAGACAACATGACGGGCGCGCAGAAACCACACATTGACCGGATTAAAAATCCATTCTTAACCATGTTACTCATCATCAGGGTGCAGAAAATCTGCAGCGGCAGTTCAATACATTTTCTGACTCGCCAAAATCTCCCTTTTTCCCCTTTAGCGCTGCCCAAGCAGAAATCACACATCGCTGCCAGATAACACAGATCACACTCCAAGGCCAGCTATTTTTGTACATTTTTGGCTGTTAATGTTTCATCCATAATTAATGTCATTTCATTTAATCAGCTGCATTGTTGCGCCGCGCTGTAATCATTCCTGAATTGGACTCATTTCATGTCACACAGCTTAAACCTGGTACAGATTTTTCACTGGTGAAATTATAGGAAGATTGTAAGATGAACACCTAGATAAAAAAACTAGGGATGTCCAATAGTTACTTTTTCCTAATATCCGATATGCTTTTTCACTGGTGAAATTATAGGAAGATAAAAAAAATAGCGATGTCCAATAGTAATAATAAGTACTTTTTCCTAATATCCGATATGTCGAATTGTCCAAACACTTAATTTCCAAGTCGGATAAAAACCGAAACCAATATATGCAGCCGTTTGCCCCCAAAACTGCCGTAAACATCTCAGGACCCCACGAGTGATTCCAGCATATTTGGCAAAACTCAGGCTTTGTGTTATCAGGTTTTCATTATTGGAGGAAAAAGCGATAATGATTTCTTACAGATGTTACGCTAATATCGGACATCCCAAAAAAAAAAAAAAAACCTATCCTTGTGTGTGATTTTTCTAACAACTTTTCTTTGGTGTTGAACCAGTTTCTTGATAAAATACCGATTGATCCAGAGCAATAATTACAGAATGTATTTGTCCGTGACAGTCAGTCGTCTCTAATGCCTACTAACAGTTGAGGAATACTACATTCTCCAAATGTTGCCCGCATTTTATGAACCAGAAAAACAATCCGCTTCGAGTATTTGATGGATTGGCACAAAGTAAAGCTACTGACTCAGTTGGAAAGCGAAAGAAAAACAAAAGGCACAGTGTGCAATAATTATTTTCTCTCTGCTTCTCACTTGTCTGCTGCACTTAGAGCTTGAATACATCTGCTCACATCAGGTAACAAAAAAAAATATCTTTTTTTTTTTTTTTTATTTTTTTTTTTAGTTTTTTTTTTTGGCCCATGTCATGATGGTTAGTTTAATCGGACGCCAGAGAACAGACTAGAATATTACACTCCCGTTCGACCAGTGGGTGGAACAGATTGGAACTTGATTTAAAAAAGCAGTGACTCAATGACATTTCCTTTTCCTTACACGGTAAAATCCTCACTTTGTGAAATCACTAAATTGCAGCACCCAGCCAGGGTGCAATTATTTTTTTTCTACTTATGCTGCAAATGCTTTCTCATTGTCAGTCACTTGTCCAATAACTGCCCACACAATGGCAGTCATAAATGTGTAAAAATTGAATTTATATGTAACTTTCTTCAACATTTTTCCTGTATCTAATCTAATCTAATCTCATCTACGTTTTGCAAATAGGGTGAAAATCATATAGATTTGTACACACAATAAAAGATCATGTTATTCTATACACATACGTACTAACTTGGTTTTGGCAAACTTCACTGTGGCGCTAAATAATTTATGGTGTTCTGTAAGAAGAAATTCTAGCATTGGTATTCAACACATGAGCATTTCCTCCATCTTAAAAAAAAAAAAAAAACAGTCTTACAATCTCCAAACTAGTGGGAGATATTTTAGAGATCCCAAAATAACTGTCAATACCCTAGTAACTACGGGTCCCCAACCTGTGGTCCGGGGACCAGTGCCTGTCCGTTTGTCATTTGGTACCGAGCCACAGTGGAAAAAATGTACTTCAGTTTAACTAATTTACTTCATTCAAAAAGAATCCAGTCAAATCCTGTTACGTTTTCCATTTAAAGATAATCTGACAACAGTAATATAGTAAATAGTAATGACATTATTTAGTCAT